AGTATGGTCCCGTAATGGTCCGATTAAGGTTATATTGAAACGTTTAGATAATTCTCATAATATGAGTCAAGAATTTATAAATCAAGTTAGTATTCAATCGTTACACAGTCTTGTTATTAGTTAATTTATCCGAAAGTATTTAGCTATAATTTAAGAATTTTTCAATAAATTCCGAATATAAAGACTTAATGAATTATGAAATATGTCCTCAATTTTTTATCTAACAAATTTTCTTTCTTTTCTTTTTTTTTTTAAGTTACGCAAATATCATAAGTGCTTGCAAAGTGGATCACTTGCAGATTATTTTGGCATGACTAAAGATATCCCTATAAAAAATTTTTATCCGGATATTTCCATTATTTCTCCGTGTCTTCCGTAAAAATTCCGTGAAAATGATACATTCACGGATATCCGTGTTAGCGAGATGAAAATTTCCATGATTTAAGGCTATAAATTCCATTAAAATGATACATTCACGGAAAAAACATGGAAAGATAAAACAGATTTTTTACAGGGATATGACATCGTGTTACATGTTCGTCATGAGATATTATGAAAATGGGAATTTATATTCGTATCTTGACGAATCCATGGGAGTCCTTTATTTACTGGAGAGATATTGTAGATATGTTATGGGCAATATCAACTGGTCTTGATTTTATTCATGAACGTGACCTCATTCACGGACATTTACACGGAGGGAACATACTAGTTGAGAAGGAAATAAATTCAATAGATACTAAAATTGCAGACACAGGATTACACGGTCCTGTTGATAAACAAATATCTTCTAAACAAGTTTACGGCGTAATACCTTTCATTGATCCCGAAATCTTTAATGGATATACATTAACCAAAGAATCTGACATATACAGTTTCGGCATGATTATGTGGATGTTATCAGCTGGTGTACGCCCTTACTGTGATAGACCTCATGATTCACAACTTATACAACAAATTTGCTCTAGATTAAGACCAATTATTGTCAGTGAAACTCCACATATATTCAGTAAATTAATGTTACAATGTTTAGATGCTGACCCATCCAATAGGCCAACAGCATCACAACTTTGCGAGTATTTAGGAAATTGGACTATAGCAATATGCGACGATCCTGAACCGTCGGATTTATCCAATCAATTTAGCGTTGCTGAAGAAATTAGATTCTCAAACTTAAAACAATTACAATTTAACATTTTACCATGTCATGAAAGAGCTATATATTCTAGTCGATCATTATCGCAACATGACATAACTGAAATAGATTACTAAAATCGTTAGTAAAATTGCGATAAGAAAAAAATTGGCCTTTATTGAAAAACAATACTTCCTAATTCTTTTATTTTCATTTAACACCATGTTCGTTATCGTTATCATTCGTTATGACGGAAATTTATTTCCTTTGTTCTATCGAATTTCGATTTATTCGTTTCTTTTTTCGGGTTGTGAAGAATCAAATTAAAATAGTAATATTAACATTTATGGTAAATTCTCTTCGGACGTTGTTATGTAATTATGATTATGTACTGCATTTCACACAATTTTTTAAGAATTTTTAACAAAAAATTAAGATTAATTTGATGATTTTTCGATCACATCGAATGACATATTATGATAAATAAAATCAAAATTTAAATCTATTTTTAACTGAAAATGGAAAATTCCGCGTTTTACTAAAAATTATATCAAGAGGTAACTCTGTACTATAGGGGGTTAGAATATCACCGAACTGCGAAACAGTTCGGATGATATTTTAACCATAACTGTATTATCCTGCAGCCGCCGATGATCATGCTTATACGATAAACTATTGATTAAACTATTAACGTGACGCGTCCTTTTACTTTTTACATGTTATTTAGTTAGATGACAAATAAAGATGATGAGATAAAAGTAATCTTTAATTAAAAAAGGATTTCTGGCGAAATTTCTGAAATCTGTAATCAGGAGAATATTACAGAGTAATTTTATTAAATAAAAATTTCGATCAGAGACATGTTACAATTTCTACTATTGATTCATTATTTCAAGTACGTTGGATAACAAAGGAAAAATAAATAAAAATAAAGCATTGCTGTTTCGTGCCTGTAATAATATAACAGTAGAAAATATCTTGCTTACCGCATCTTGCTATCTCCTTCAAACGTATAATAAATTTTAGATATTTAAATTTACCAAAATTCATATAATCCTTATGATATAATTAACACACGAATAAATTATGGAATAAGCCCTATAAAAAATGGTTGTTTCGTGATATCGATTTCAATAAGTAAACAATTTTTATATTTAAATATAATGAACTAAGATTCAAAACCTATTATTTACACGAGATTTCATTGTTTACTTTTATTTATTAACATTTTTGTTTCACTAGTAATGGATTAATTGACTACGAGAAAAAAAACATTTTTTTTTTTTTTTACTTATAAAACACGAAAAATAACGTAAATTAAAATATTCTAAACATATTTGTCTTTTTTTCTTCATGCTCATCACTCTCTCTATTAGAAAATATTCATACCTCTAATTCTTCCATAGCTTAGAGCAATTTCATCAAATTTCCATCAATTATAAAATAATCTTAAGATCATTGATATATTAATAGAAACTTATTTTATGAATATAGTACTTCTACCTAGTGAAGATATGGTGAATTAAATGCTTTTTAGGAATATGTTGTTCTTATTGAGAAAATCTCTAATAGCATATTATTGACGTCTATAAACCTATAAAATTAGTATTTATATGAACTGACGGAATAAAAGCTTTTTATTGTTAATAAGGAATCTATTTTACTTTCAATCAATTAAAGCTGATATCGTTTTTCGTGATTGAATCAGATTATCGTTAGGATTTTCTTGTTGAATTTTTCATGATACAGCCAGTAACGATCGGGATAAACTGATTTTGACACATAACGAACTTTTTTCTTAAACCAAATCCACTTATAATTAATTTCCCTATAAAAAATTTTTTAGAAAATTGATCACATGTCTGAGTTTTTTTGAGTAAAAACTAGAAAAATGATCATTAATCGGAGTTATTTTTTCTAAAGGATTTTATTATAAATTTCGCGATATTAATGTTTATAAACCAGCCATATCACACTTGAATTAGAAATTTTGTAATTGAAATAAAAGTGCGCGAAAAATGAATTTTTTACGTGCCCATAATACCGTTCACTTGTTCACTTTGTCCTGCTAATTTCCAAAAACTTTTTCGTCTAAGAATTTCCTTTCTATTCATGAAAGAAATGCTCACCCAAACAGTAAAATAATACCTCACTCACGCTGCTTAACTTCTCCCTCATTATATGATATTTGCCAGTTTAAGAATTCTTTTATTATACAATTAAAAGCACGCTTGCAATTTCATAGAAGTGAACTTAGAGTAAAAACCTTAAAAATGGAGCTTTTTTCTGAAGGACTTTTTATTATTTTGTTCTATAATGAATCAACCTTCGATATTCCCCTGCTCAAAGAAAGTATACGTGTAAGTTTGAGGGTGGTCGAGAATACGAACAATTGGGTATTAGTTCTTTTAGGAAATAAAAATTGGGGCAGTAAAAAGCGTCGGACAGGGACATGTGCATATGTTTTGATGCAGAATGCGCAGCAAACATATCATGTCACTTTTTGCTGGAAAGAACGTGTATATAAAGAATTTGAAATGTCATTGCGGTGTGGTTCAATGCATTTTGAATTTAATATAGATGTAAGAGATTTTGTGGAAGGTAACGTAAAAATTTTATTTTTATTTTATGAAATATTTATTTAGGTTTTAATATTAATGTAATATATAGAAAATCATGACGAGAATCAAGCAAGAAATTTAAATTGATAAATTAGAAGGATGCCGTGGTTTTTTTTTATGAGATAGAATAGAATTTTAATATAGAATTAAAAACAATTAAAAAAATGTACAATAAAAAAATCATCTTGTTTTGTATTGATTTTATTAAAAATATACACAAAATTATTCTACCAAAATATATACAAAATTTGAATATACAGTACATAAGTTTATTATTAAGTTTTAATTTCTAATGATTTTCGAGTATATTTAATTGGCGTATCATGAATTTGATAATAGTTTTCATAATAAAAAATATCATGAATTACAGGTCTCTTTGATTTTCTGCCGCCCATTGTTGTTCCTCCAAAAAATAATCGTACCTAAATAATAATTAAAATATCATTTGCAAATTATTTTATAATTCCTTTTTATTTATTATTATTAATCATTAATAAAACTTTACCTGTTGATGATTTTTTTTTCTATACTTGATGTTAAAAAGTGTCACAATACCATTCCTTTTTGTTTTAAATCTCGCATAAACTGAGGTACATGTTGAACAAATACATGCATATATGGTGAACTTCTGTGCGCAAATACATTCCTTGTTGTTGATTAGCGCTATTCACAGTACCGGCAAAAATCATGGATCCATTAACTTCAAATTGATTGATTTCTTCATTTGTTATTGACTTTTGATGCATTATTTTATAAAGCCGATAAAATTCACGCCAAATTTTTTCAATATTTTGTCCTCTTGTAGCTTCTTGTCCTTCAAAAAGATTTGCCACCTGAAAATCCTTTAATATTTTCTTTTTATGACCCATAAGTGATGCCCAATCCCATTTTCCATTTTTTTGTGGATGGAGGGTAAAATTTCAAAATGAACATGAAGCTTCTTCATTTCTTCAATTATTAAAGCTTGTGTTTTATTTGTAAATTCATTTTGTTTGACAAGTTCATAAAATAAACATTGAAAAAGCATTGTAGCATAAGATGTAACTCATCAGGGATCCAATTATTTTGATTAATTTCACAAAAAGCATAGGATTTTTGCATTCTATAATTTTTAATTAAATTTTATTAAATAAATACATAAAATCATAATAAAAAAAATAAGTATTATATATACCATGTGTGTTTTTGAATTTAACCATACTTTATCCATATTATGACGCTCATCTTTGTGACAATTACAATACAAACAAAAATAATTGGACATTGCAGCATTAATTCCTAAAATTAATGCTACAAACTTCCAATCACCCGAAAAAATAATTCAATTGGCCAAATTGTACCATCTGAAGCTCTATATCCTTCTTTTAGTAACTGTTCAAGTTCATGTGAAAATTTGGCTGATACAGTAGATAAAGAATTATAAGACTCTTTTTCTATATATAGTAAACAAATACTATGATAATAAACAAATTAATAATAATACATATAGAGTTAAAATACATGGATATATTATATTACCTGTATTGGTGAGAAGGATTCAAAACAGCTTCGCCTTCATTAAGAATACACATAATAAGCATTACATACTTTTGCTTATGACCTACATTTCTTCCATCTCCACTTAATTTTATATTAATTTTATCACCAAGGGTGATTCTGATTTAATCAAAATAGGAACTACAATATCTAATAAAGATAGGATAGATCGATATGCACCATTGCCTACTTCATCATCATTAAATTCAGTTTCAATAATATTTTGCTGATTTTCATCATCATCACCATCAAAAATAGAAATATCAATATTAAAGTTTTAATTGGAACAAGTGCTTTCATTATTAGTGTAATTGCATGTTCCCTTATTAAATTTGGAACTGCTTGAGCTAATTTTCGATAACCATCACGTGAAATCAATGTTTCATCACAAGCACGAACAATTGAATCTAAATGTTGTATATTATCAGCAGTTGTATCTCCGGAATCAAAATGTAATTCTACTAGTATTATAGACTCAATTGTTGCAATAATTTCTTCAGATGGTGAAATAAATTTATTTTTATTAAGAATTGTCAAAGTCTGTGTTGCAATGTCCTTCCCAACCATTGAAATACGTTTATTCTTTTGTGATCGTGATGTAAGATCAGTATAAGATCTTTTATGATTAACAGCAGGTATAATAGGTTGTTATAACTGGTGCGCAATAGTTTCATGAAGCTGTTGCAAGAAACTTATATCAAAACCAAAAAGTATTGTTCCAGAAACACGCGAATTTGGCTTGTTACAAATTTCCTACAAAATAAATTTACATTTTTTTAAATTATTTTTCATATTTTTTAATAATCAAATACAAAAAAATTATTAAACTTACTTTTAAAAATAAGGAAATTACAGCTCCAGCAGATGATAAACTATATCTTGAATTTACTTGGCCATTTTCATCTGTCCACTCAACAGTATTGTATGACTGTGAATAATTTTTACCACCAAATATTCTAACAGCGTGAATATATGAGTTGGAAGGATAATTATGAAAAAAAGCACGATTTGTATCTTCATGAATAATAAGTTCTTCATTTTCGTCACGAGTAAATGGAGTTTCACACTCATTAAACGGGGTTTGAAACATAATAAACTGTATTAAAGTTTGACTTTATTAGTTTAAGACGCATAGAAACAATTTAATTTTTTTTGAAAAAAACATTTTCTTCCTTTTTTAGAACACGCCCACCTTCCTTTTTAGAACGTGTTTAGAGGGAAACGAATTTGAGATTAGAAAAATAATCGGAACTTGATTAATTTTAGGAAGAGAATAGTCAAAATAAGAAGGAAGATTAGATTATTAATTGAGGGGGTGTTGAAGTGTTTATTTTGATATGCTTATCACGAAATTATCACATAGGACACATATAAAATTTTTAATATCACATCAGAAGACATTTTGTCGATCCGCCAATAATCCCCATATGTATCGATTTTATCCTAATTCTGGCCAGCATTAAATTAGGTTGGCCAGCATTAAAGTGCACAGCAAATCACTTGATGAATTTTGATAAATTTTAAATTATTAGTAGAGAAGTTTGCAAGCATATATACAATCTACATAAATATACTTCTTTTATTAATAATTTTTTGATAAAAATACATTTTAAAAATTGCCGTATTATTCGGCGCATTAAGGACACAAGATCAACTGAACGGAGAGGAGGGTTCGTTATATCGAGTAGCTATGATGACCAATCAATAACTTTGGAAACAGTTTTTTGAAGGATTCTAACTTGTAGCTTAAGGTTGTTGTCTTACTGAAATTCCCATCTTCTCTAAAGCATTCTTCTAATTTCTGGAATATACTGCAATATTTCAATATAAACTGAACTTTACATGTAAAGCAAAACAAATACTATGTTTTTCCATTAACACAAGTTCCATCCCATGCCAAGATTTTGTCGATTTGAAGGAAGAGGCCGAATTGGTCTAAAACCTTTAATATCAATATTTAATTGTATTAATAACTAGTATTAATAACTGGAAGCTTATAAAAAAATTCTGGAAAAACTCCGATAAATGATCATTTTTCTAGTTTTTAATCCGAAGAAACGCAGACACGTGATCATTTTTCTGAAAAAATTTTTTATAGGGGAACGCTGTTTCGTGACAATTTGTGCCCATTTGATACGTTATGCTTTTAAACTGTCGAAAGCATCGGTGCTACAATTGGTAAACTATTTTCTCCTTTAGCCGGTTATAAGGTAAATTTATATTATCTTGTGCCAATTTTTAGTTAAATTACGTATTATTTTAACAAATATGCCCATTTAATAATATGTCAATGATTCGTATTTTGTTTTGGTTCCTTGATAATTGATTGTTGAAAAGGGAATGCAGTTGACGATGAATTTTTTTTTATGCCAAGAACAAGCGAAACCGTAATCCTATAAAAATGAAATGTAAAAAAGTCTAAAAAAGCACCATCTTGTTCGATTTATGTCATATTACAAAAAACAAAAATTAAACAAAATGGTACTTTTTAAGCATTTATTACACGAGCACTAAACAGTACGTATGATGATAAACATGTGTTTTTACCTCTGAAATTCGTTAACTATATTAACTTTGAAGAAAACTATCTTTAAGAATAATGCTCATAAAACCATGCCCACAATGTAATTGTATCTTGATCACATTTTTACATGTGAATATTAAATGATTTTTTAACGATACGAACGTGATTGATGTACTGTACAAACGTAACAACCAGAAATTAATATCCGAAGTCGTGACTCTGCAAATAAATCCTGCTATAGACTATCACTTGACTATAAAATCTACATTTTGCGAAACTAAAATTATTCAAACGCAAAAAAAAACCATTCCTATAAAAAATTTTCTGGAAAAACTCCGATGAATGATCATTTTACTCCAGAAAACTCAGACATATGATCAATTTTCTAAAAAATTTTTTATAGAGATTTCGCTAACAAAAAATCCATTTGTCACCTGTATAAGTAATTTTAATGTGTATTATTAGAAAGTAAGTATGCTTTAATCAAACAAAAGTTAAATAAAAATTTATAAAAATATTTTAAGACTCAATTATATTATAAAAAAATAGACAATTTTATAAAATTATCATAAAAAAAATTTTAATAATTATTTATTAATTTACATTTATCTAATTGTACGTAATGTAGGAACGGAACTTTTACACTCAAACTGATTGTAAACACATGTACTTTTAACTTTTACACGAAAAAAGTCCAGAAGTTATTGTATATAGTGAGAACCCATAAAGAAGATATTATCAATATTACTATTAAAAGAAGTATTTATCAAATGATTGTATAATAAAACCATATAAATGTTCGTTACTGTGTTTTGTGTATTACTTCGTGTAACAAAAATACCATATCCATATGTCGATCATTAGGGTAATCAAATCTGCCGATATGTATGTGTTTGTTACGGAACATTCTTTAATTCTTTGACATTATTTTTCTATATATATATAAATAGTAAAGTTTCGATTTTCTTTGAAAATAGACAAATACAAAAGCTTGTCAAACGTACTATGATATTTTATCATGTATATTTGGTTGTAGTTGGTACAAATTTAATCTGTTTGTAATTTTATACTTGATATCATGTTGTTGGAATTGAATAATTTTAACTTCCACATAATCTAAATTTATTATTATTTGCGAAAAAGATAATAAATATTATAAATAGACTTCTTTATATGCAAGAATTAAAAAAAAAGAAAGACCTACACGATTATTTAAATGTCGGAATTATTATTGTGCATTTTATTTTCAAATATAAGATGTGAATGAGAATTTATTTTGACATTAATCACATTAATCTTTTTCATAACATAATAAATCCCCAAAAATGGCATTGTGGTGTTTATGAACGCTTCTTTTTTTCTTGCGTACTTTACGTTTATGTGGGCTTTTTTTCGACGTTTCGATGCGATATAGAAATGAGAACAGTGGTTTAATTATTAATTATTAAGATCTTGTGTTTAATAATCTATGTTATGGAATTTAAGGCAAAATAATTTGTCAAGTGTTTTTATGGAAATATTTAAAGAATTTATACTGAAGAATTTATAATTTATTTACCATTCGTCTTTTCCATGAAATATAGTTTGTATATCGTTACTCGTTAGAAAAACATTAATAATAGTCTATGGTTGAAAAACCAATACTTTAAATTCTATTTGTTACAATCGGAAATTCCTTCTTTTCTAAATTCGGTTTCTTTATTTCGAGGAATCACAAATTTAACTTTGTATATATTAACATTTATTGTGTGTACTTCTTTTTTTCTTATTTAACACAAATAATAATCGGATTCGGAGGATGGCGGAATATCAATGAAAAATGTGAGATACAAACAAATTAACTTAATCTTGTTAATACAGCTAGCATCATTGTTAAAAAAAGTTTATAAGAAAATTCGAGTTTGAGTGTTGCGTTCAACTTGTTTAACCTTTATTAGTAACGAAACGTTGAAGTTTCTTGTAATTATACAAAGACGAATAGCATTAGTATTAAGACATTTTATTAAATAAATTTAGGAATAATAATAGAAAAAAAATGAATTAAATACTAAAAATTGTACATTTGTACTATCTTTTTTCCTAATAACATCAAATGATATCAACTTTAATGTTTGGAATTCAAAATAATCCCTGCAGCAATGACCCTTATTATGTCTCACAACTTTATTCTGATTATTAATTTTTTTTTTTCAAACCCGTTTTAAAACAAATATTTGTTTATGTTATTGGAAATCGATGTGATGATCACGTTTGATTGGCGTTACACGAATGAAACAAAAAAAAAAAAAAAAGAACTTTCTGTTAGAATATTTACCCTATTTGTATAGAGACCTGTTTCTTCTCTGGAAAGGATTACATAACAAAACTTTAATTACTTATGCTTATAAAGCACTTCAATTTTTTTTTTTTTTTAAAAAAAAAAAATAAATAAAGCAAATTTATATGGATTTTGGAGATCAGTCACGCTCATTAGATTCATCTTCCGATCGGGAGATCATTTTGAACATCAAATCTCAATTATACGGCAACTGTTCAGATTGCAAACAACAACGAACTGCGGCAGCATGGTGTGAAAATTGCGATATTGCAATTTTGAAAGAAAATTTCCGCAATTGGACCAGCGGAAATCCTAGTATAGATGAATTTATTAGATATACCCAATTAACTGCCAATGAGAATATGGACTATCTCGAATGGATTGATTTCAATCAATTTGACTTAGTAAAAAATACTAATAAAAGAGGCGCTTTCAGCTCAATATATTCTGCCATATGGATGGAAGGTCCACGGTGGAATCTGGACGAAGAAGCTGAAGTATGGTCCCGTAATGGTCCGATTAAGGTTATATTGAAACGTTTAGATAATTCTCATAATATGAGTCAAGAATTTATAAATCAAGTTAGTATTCAATCGTTACACAATCTTGTTATTAGTTAAAGTATTTAGCTATAATTTATAGGATTTTTCTGTTTGATATAATAAATTCCGAATATAAAGTGTTTAATATGAAATATGTCCTCATTTTTTTTTATCTAACAAATTTTCTTTTTTTTAAAAAAAAAAAGTTACGCAAATATCATAAATGTTTACAAAGTGGAGCACTAGCAGATTGCTTTGGTATAACCAAAGATCCGACGTCATGTTATATGTTTGTTCTAAGGTATTACAAAAATGGAAATTTGTACTCATATCTTGAAGAATCTATGGGGATTATTTGCTGGAGAGATATTGTGGATATGTTGTGGTCAATATCTGCGGGTCTTAATGTCATTCATGAACTAGGTCTTGTACATGGTCATTTGCATGGAGGTAATATACTAGTTGAAAATGAAATGGATTCAGTTGATGCTAAAATCGCCGACACTGGACTCCACGGACCTGTTGACAAATCAGTGTCATCTCAACAAATTTATGGCGTATTACCTTTTGTTGCTCCAGAAATATTGGATGGGAATAGTACACCAACCAAAGAATCTGATATCTATAGCTTCGGTATGATCATGTGGATGTTATCAGCTGCTACTCGTCCTTATTACGATAAACCTCACGATAAACAACTTATTCAGGAAATCTATTCAGGGCTAAGACCAAGCGTTGTTGGTGGTACTCCGTCTGTTTATTCTAGATTAATGTTACAATGTTTAGATGGTAATCCATCAAATAGACCAACAGCATCTCAACTTTATGATTGCTTCGGAAACTGGATCTCGGAAATTTGTGATAATCCTGATCCATCCGATTTATCTAATCAATTTGATGCTGCTGAAGAAGTAAAATTTTCAAATTTGGAAAATTTAGATTTTGATAAATCACAATGTCATGAAAAAGCCATTTATTTCAGCCGTCCATTAGAATTTTCAGACTCCAATAATCCATTTTTTTGTGGAAAAATGTAAATAAATTATTCAAATTTAAAAGCATTCCGCATTAAGCACTTAACTTTACTAAAATCGTTAATAAAGTTAATATTAATCTTAGGTAAGAAAAATTAGTTTTTTCGTTTTTAATTTCGTTCTTAAATACTGATCTATCAAAGATTTTTGCTTAATTTTTCGTCAAATTTTGTTTGGTTATTTTTAAGATTTTTTTTTTTAAGAAAAATACGCACGGTATATGTATTAGTAGTAATAAGTAACTGTCGATTCTTTCAAATTAAGCTTAATATATGAATTATAAAAAAAAATATTGATAATTCTTGTATGATGATAAACCGCATAAGATAGTAATAAATTAAGTATATAGTAAATGTTTCAAACATATACAGAATGAAAGGCTCTGGTACCATTGTTAAAATTTCAAGAGTTTTAAATTATCCATATGGTCAAGGTTTCAGAAAAGAATACAAAGTTGAGGAAGCGACAAAAAATCAAACTGATAAACCTAATAATTTAAAGTCATATGATAGAATGAGATATTTTAGTGGAATATTGAATTATTGATAAATAGAAGAGGTAGTAATTAAAGGGATTATGCTAGGGAATACTATTTTTTTGGTTTATCTCCTTTTTTGTAAGAGGCAATAGGGAGCACAAAGGATACAAAGCCATTTTTACAGGACCTTATATAGAAGTTACTCATCCTGGTCCTGTAAAGAGAGGTGGAAACCTTTAGGGCTTTGTATTGATTATAAAAGTATATGATTTATTCTTATCTCTTAGATATCTTTATAGTATATAGAACCAGAGTTAAACTCAATCCAAATTTAAATCTGGTTTGAATAGCGTTCGTGCGACAGTTCCTTAGTAGCACATATTAAGCAGCAATAGCGTAATTTTGGATTATAAAATAACCTTAGATGACTCATATGACGAAAACGAAAACGAAATCGTCACGTCATTTTGTCATTTTGAAATGACTGGTCATTCAAAATTCACTTAACAAATGACCTGATCATTTACCTGAAACTCTTTAATCTTACATAGCTGCAGGTTTGCATGCTGTGGTAAATCAGTATACAGTATATAAACTCCAGTTTGATAAACAAACTGCGTGTTAAAAATACTGTGCAAAAAAAAATTTGCCTTGCCAAAACGTCCAAACAAATATACAGCGTAATATTGCAATTTAGAAAAATTATGAGATCCTTAATGTAAATTCTTATTATTGCGCGACTATTTTTTTATAATTTATTTTGATTCTTCATCACTAAAAAAAAGTTCCCGAGAAAGAATGAAATCGAGAAATAATAGTAAGTTGACACAAATATTTAATTCGCTCGTAGAAATCCTTATTTATACTGTACCTTTTCTTTATATATTATTATAGCATCCGACGATATGATATATAAATACATTACACTTTTCTGCCCCACGTGATCATAGTAAAAAGGTTTGTCACGGGTCCTATCCAAAATCCCGAAATTGAAAATCCCGACACTTGATATTTTACAAAAACAAATAAATTAATATTCAAATTCAGTGTTGCTATTACTTTTTTAAAATTATTTAATTTTGTGTCACTTTCGCAAGATATCAATTATTTCAAATCACTTAAAATTTGCAAAATATTAAAATATAATTTTAGTATTTATAAATTCGTAATTTATACAAATATGTAACTTTCAAACAAATAAATATACTAATATTCATTTTTTGTATGCCCATTTGTGTTTTAAACACGTTAATGGTTGCTTCACTTTAATAAGTATTAAATTGGTATAATAGTGGCTTTTTTGTGAAGTGAGAAATTTACTTTTTAGTATAAATCTAATATGAAGTCAGGACTTTGAGGAAAAAGTAATATGAGGCGGGTTAAAAATTAAATTTCGGGACTCTCGGGATTTTGTATAAGTCGGGATTTTCAATTTTGGGATTTTGACAGTCGGGATTATATGGTGTCGGGATTTTGACATTCGGGATTTCGTACCATACCATTTGTCATGGTACCACACCCACTGCGTTTCCCCTTTTTCATAAGTATTCTGGGAACTTGGATTTTTTTCGATTATTTTTCAGGTAAAAAATGCTTAATCACGTGAAATTTGTGATACCGAATGATAAATAGAGCCTTTGTCCCCAAATTTCTGTGAAACATTTATTTTATTCATAACGTAACACTACTGAAACTTAAATCATTTTTTAAAAAAAATTTGATCAACTTTCAAACTTTGTTACAAATATCAATCTAAAATTTTCGGTTACAACCAACCATTAACTGAACTAATATATTTAAAGAATATTTACAATATTATATTTCCGGCAATTGCCGTGCGTCTAGTTATTTTTCGAACTTTAATATATCTAAATTCGGAATTATGGTCTTTCCGAAATATACTTAATACATGATCATCTGTCTTATTTGTATCCAAAAATTTACAACATAGATAAAATATACCGTACCGGCGTACCGTACTAAAAAAACGGTGAATTTTGTATTCATATTTCGACGAATATATAGAAATTTTTGCTGTCGAGGTATTCAAGCAATATAATCAGCTTTAATGTGATTATTTATGAACTAGGTTTTGTTCATGGACATTTACACGGAGAAAATACAAGCTTCTCGCAAAGTTTCATTATATACAGTATAAACAAATTACTATGCTGATTATTCTCATTCCATAATTCTCAGTATCTTATATTTTCTTATAAATTATTATTACAATATCATAAACAGTTTGCTTAAGTAGCCCCATTTTTAAAAAAAACAAAAGCTTAGATTGTACATATATACTATAACATACATAAAATTTTAACAATGTGATCTGCTACGACACGCATTTTACAAGTGCACGATCATGGTCTTCGTCTCTTAGATAATGGTGAGAATGTCGGAATTCTTTTTTTTTTCCCATGAACTTGGGTTATTATGAATTCTTTCACATAATGTTTTATTTCATATCTATAGAAGGAAACTTACACAATTGCTAACGTTCCTCCACACATTTAATTAATTATTAATAGCAATGGTAAACCAAATGGAGTAGAATATTATTGCCAATTTATGCTATGCAATTCTAAAAGATGGCTTAAATAATGTAAACTTACACTTCCAATACTTCTACTACAAAATCCCGGAAATATAAGACATAATATCGACATCCGCGATCACGAAAATTCACGATCACGAAAATTTTCAATCCCACAGTCCGTTATCCCAAATTATTATTACTTAAAATATTTTATAATAAATTGCTCGGTAATAAAATTATGTATTATTATTTTATTCTTGTATTAAAATTTCGGAATTTGTGAACTATCGGATAGTGAATTTTTAAGAAAGTGCCGAGATGACAAAATCTTAAAATGGATCGTTTATGAAAAGAATATTACTTATGAAGAGGACCTTAATGATGAAGAGGTATTATAAACCGCTCACAATTTATTTGTTTATATTTATGTGTATTTATGAAATATGAGTTAGAATATCAAGAAAGGACTTAATCTAAAAGAACGTGAATTTAAGGGAGAGGGAAGCTAAGATCCGCATAATGAAGGTGAATTGAATTGGCTAATCATTAATTAACAGAATTTATGAATAGAATATTTTGAATATTTTTAACACAATAGATATGAATAAATAAAACCAAATGTAGTATTATGAGGCGCAAGAGTCGTAGAATTATTAGTATTAATATGCAAGGTGTTTACATTCGTATTAGATACTCCAGCTTTTTTTTAAAAAAAAAATTATTTCAATTTGACAAGCTAAGTAAATACTTATATTGCGTACCCTACATATTTAAAAGGCCTCTATACGTACTATTGAGTACAGTATATTATTAGTGTAACGTACTCAACACATTGCACTCCACGCAACGACTCCACAACTATTCGCTCTCACCTTTTGCATTGAGTGATACATTTGCATTCAGAATTATGGATGTATCTTATTGAGATTTTTTATTTTCGAGATTTTTGAGTGTCTTAATCTCTTATCAAAAATTTTAGTGTATCCGTAAATTATTAAACCTCTTACTAATATAATTTAATTAATTGGCATTTTCCTTTCATTAATAAAGTAGAGTGTTGTTCGTTGTTCCAGTCAAATGAGATAATTACGAAATATTCGTTAGTTTCAATTTGCCGGATAAACAATAATATTTACTAAAAAGCAATGATTAATGAAATGCTTACGTTTGATACTGATTAACTATATAACATCCTTCATGGTAACAGTCAACAACAAAACTATTATCAGCTTCACAACGATACCTTCCTTAGTTAGCAGTGTACGAATTATTTGCAAATAAAGACTTAATTATGAGATTAGTAAATTAAAAGAGTAGTTTTCATTGGACATTATCCTAGCAAAGAAGGACGCTAAAATCAACAGCAGCAAAAAAATTCAAATTCACAAATCTTAGTATTACCACAATTGCAAATGTACAGGGTCGATAAATTCCGCCGTTATTCAAATAAAGATCATGATATCTTATAAAATTGCTTAGAAGCACCAGAAAACAGGTATAGCAAGTGATCTGATGTTGGATCATTAGTCCCGCGTCATTTGGGTCATTTCGATGTTAATTAAAAATTATATCATGTGGTAACATAAATTCTGGCCAAAATTATTTATAAAATATCACGTGTTATTATAATTCTGGCTGGCATCATAAATTTGGCCTGAATTTTAAATGACTCGAATGACTAGGTGTAGAATCAATGGTAATTCGGATCTGATATTTAAGAAATGTGGTTTTATAGATCGAGGCTTGGGATCTTATTTACAATGTTGACTGAGTTATATACTTAATGTCATCTGTTATTATTTAATTTTCAATGGTCTTTATTGAATTAGCAGCAGTAAATATAAACTTTACATCAACAATAACTTTGACTTATTATTATTAAATTATTCCTTGTAGTTGACGGAAAATTATGTAAGTATATTGTACGAACTTTATTAATATAAAATATTGATTTATTCTTCAATTTGTAAGTCTAAAATATAAATCATTTTCAATAATTGCAAATGAATTTTTGCATGTTAACAATATACTTAAATCATATGTTCAGTGGTTAACAGTTAGTATTTTGAAAGATAAAGCTTCTGTATGGATGAAAATCATCGTTCATATATAAATAGGGCATGAATAATAGGTAATTTTCATCTCATAAATTTCGGTGGTTGTGAGGATATTTTATCTCTTTTTTCTAACTGAAAACAATTTACTTTTGCCCGGTATCCAAGTCATATAGGAAGATTCTTGTTTTTTTCACTTGTTTTCGTATAGTGAGATCTGCGGGTATTTTACATTATAATTTTAAAACTATCCAATAAACCAGAATAAATTTAATAATCTGCCGAAGGAACCAAAATAATTTATATAAATTACCGTATTTTTTCAATATTAAGTCCCGCCGGAAATTAAGCACCCCCCTACTTTTATACGACTTCATGAGTAAAACGAAAATAAGCATCCCTAAAATAAGCTTCCTAAAAAAATTATGATTTATTTATTATTTTATCAATACAAATAAACAAAACTACAAAATTAACTATCTATATAATTTTCTTTGTCTTCATTTATATCAATAATTTCAATTATTTCTATTCCTCCTCCAATATCTTCGCAAATAGCATCATCGCCCTTTTCGCACTTCCATTTTTTCAATGACTCACGAACATTTACTTTTCCAAAACCAATAATCCATTCTCCATTTCTAGCAAGGCTTTCTTTGGTCAAGGTTTTAAATGTTTCATTAATTATTGTGGCCTGCCATATAAGTACAAAAGATATTAAAACATACATCTTCATCAAGACTTCTAAAAATTATATCAATATCTTGAGTATTTATGATATTCCATATTTTTTATTAGAACAAATAATGATCCCTTCCCATGAACGTTTAATCTACCCACACATATCACTTATCTTTGCACGGTTAAGGTTGCGTCCATTAGTATACTCAGTACCGCCCCTATCTACTCATCCATTGATGCCATTCTTGACGAAGATGATCCTCAACAGGTTTGTTAATCGCAACATCAAGCGGTTGGCAAATGCTTGTTAACACCCGGGATAACTACCAGATCCACTTGATGTTCTTTAAATTATCATATACCATCATAGCTGGATATTTAGGCTGTTAGTTATTTAACCTTCTTATATTATGAAAGTAAACAATATAACATTTCATTTAAATTTGCATTCATCCAGCCACTTTCTTGGAACCAATCAATCACGCCAGAATGAACTTTTTCTCTTTCCTTTAAAATGTAGTTTTGTTCCATCTATAATCAAAAATATCTAATGTTTAATGATTTTTTTTAAAAAAGATTTATTATAAATCTTTACCTGCAGCACATGTTAAAACGACAGTAAAACGATCTTTTTATCACCTGTCCCACGACATGGACTGTTTTTTCTCATTTTGGATTGATAGTGATATTTCCAGCCATATCAAACCAGACTGGAGCTTCGTCCATAAAAATATTACACAATTCAGTAGAATTTTTATTCTAAGACGAATGACAAGCCGATGAAAATTTGCCAATAATTCTTCTGTTTGCTAAGGAAGTTTTTGAGAGATTCTTGTATGTAGTCGTAAAGCTAAATTGTATTTTCTGATAAACCAGTTAGCCAACGAAATGCAGCAACAAAATTTGTTGTTTGATCACGTACCATATTGAGCTACCATATCCGGCTCTTTTAAAATTTCAAACATTGTAAGACGTATAGTTACAAATTTTACAACTAATTTTTTCTTCTTTTGTTCTATAGCCCAAATGTATAACTTCTCAGCCTAAGGATAAAAAGCTATTCAGCCAGAACCAACTCGTTTACTATCACTTTTTGTTTCGTTTGATCAGTTTTTACTTGCCTTAATCTAGCGTCCAACCATGGTACTATCAAGTTCAAAATGTCTAGCCGCTTCGTTGAAAAGCATAATTAACAACAATTCTTTCTTGTTCGATAGAATATGAAGCACGTTGACGTTTAATAACTTTTGGTCAAAATGGATAATAAAACGCGTTAAAAAGTTTTTTAGAACTACATGAAATTCGCGTAATTATTTAAACCCCTTAATTGAGGTTACGCGAAATTTCAGGTGACTTCGATCTTGTTCATCTTACATCTTACGTGATACTTAGTGTCGATTATACTTATTATATAGTATTTATGCAATAACGTGATCGCGGCCATTTGGCACAATATAGCCGCCAAATTTCTGAAATCGAAAACGGCAGAGTATTGCCTAAAGACCTATACAATAAGTATTTTATTATATAGACTCTCAAGATCACACTATTAAATCATTCACGAGTTTATTTATAAGTTTTATTGTAATAAAGCAGAGTGTTCATTATTATATATTTCATCAATAAAGCTCTTCAATAAATGTAAATAATTCTAAAGATACTTAAGACCAATACTGTTCTGTTTATAAGCAATAATAATAAATCAAAATGATCAATAATAAAATTAATTTACAATTATTAATACAATTAGTAAATAGGACTAAATTTGTAATCTCATATATGTTAAGCCGAAAACGGAAAAGAATCTAGAATTAGAACGATTATTAATATGTTCTTATCCTAAGACGTTCTTACTGAAATTAATAATGACGTTCCGACTTTTAATACGTTAACTATATAATATTATTGAAATATGCGAAAAACATGAATTGATGTTCTCCTTTTACATTTTTCCATAAAAAAGTGACGATCAGATATCTGAAAAACTTAATAAACGACTGAAATAAATGGCACCTTCATGACACGATAAAACATTATAATTTAATTTTTCTAAATTTGCAAATTTAAATTCTTCAGCAGCGTCGAATTGGTCTGATAAATCGGATCTATTAGGGTCATCACAAATTGCCGTGATCCAATTTCCTAAACATTCGTAAATTTGGGATGCTGTTGGTCTATTTAACGGATTAGCGTCTAAGCACTGTAACATTAATCTAGAATAAGCAGGTGGAGTTCCATTTATAACATTTGGCCTTAATCCCGACCTAATTTCTTGAATAAGTTGCTTATCATGGGATTTGTCAAAGTAAGGACGCACACCAGCTGATAACATCCACATGATCATACCAAAGCTGTAAATATCAGATGCTTTGGTTAACACGTTTTCGTCAAAGATCTCTGGTGCAACAAAAGGTATTACACCGTAAATTTGCTGAGATGGCATTGATGTCACTGAATTATCAACAGGTCCATGTAATCCAGTATCCGTTATTTTTGCATCAATTGAATTTATTTCGTTCTCAACTAATATATTTCCTCCATGTAAATGTCCATGAACAAGATTGTGTTCATGAATAAAATTAAGACCTGCAGATATTGACCATAACATCTCTACAATATCTCTCCAGCAAAGAATTCCCATAGTTTCTTCAATATATGAAAATAAATTATCATTCTCGTAATATTTCATAACGAACATAAAACAAGATGTTGGATCTTTAGTCACACCAAAACAATCTGCAAGTGCATCACTTTGTAAGCATTTGTGATATCTGTATAACTAAAATGAAAATGTAACATATTAACCTTTTTTTCAGTTATTAGAATAGGAAAAAATATTTGCAAATATTTTACACAAATAAATAAAATCTATCGTTACAAGAAATCTAAAAATTTATTTTGCAGACTTATAATGAATGGTTAGTAATATAACTTTTCAAAACATATGACAATTAATCTTTTTTTCTTAATTTAACCTTTGATCAAAAACAGTTAAGGCGAATTAGTATATTGACGTTATTATTTATTATAATATTCACCTGGTTTACAAATTCTTGGCTCATGTTATGAGAATTATCTAAGCGCTTTAATATAACTTTAATTGGACCATTACGACTCCATAATTCAGATTCTTCATCAAGATTCCATCTTGGACCTTCCATCCATACTGCAGAATAGATTGAACTGTGAGCACCTCGTTTATTAATATTTTTTATTAAGTCGAATTGATCGAATTCAATCCATTCGAGAAAGTCCATATTCCCTTTAGCATTTAATTGCGTATATCTTATAAGTTCATCAATTTTAGAATTACCACTAGTCCAGTTGGAAAATTTTTCTTTAAAAAATGCTATATCGCAATTTTTACACCATGCTACAGCAGTTCGTTGACTTTTACAATCTAGACATTTTCCGAATCGTTGAGATTTAATGTCTAAAACAGTCCCTTGAGGCTCAAAGGACAGGTCCAATGAACGAGATTGGTCTATAAAGAATAAATGATCCAGCTTTAAAATTTCAATTTTTTTAAAGGGAACATAGCAACGAAACTGCCATTCATACATATTTTATAATATCATAATCCTTATCCGCTACACCGACGTATTAGTAATTAAAAATTACAAATACCAATAACCAAACCGGCAAAAACCGGTTATAATCCGGTGTAGCTTCAAGCAACTAGACGCCAGTAAATATTGGGACAGATATTTTTAATTATTACGTACTGTAATAATAAGGGATGTATGTAAATATGTTTAAATGGTGCTCCCAATAATCGAATTTAAAAATTATTCAACCCATTTCCATTTCCTTTTTGATACTGTAATTAGTAATATTTTTTATAGTTACGGTACGTGAAATTTACCGCCAGCCGATCCGATATTAATAATTCATTGTGACCATGTCGATCCTCGTGAACACTTTTTATCTTAAGTGAGAATCACTTATGTGCAAATTGAGAGATTTCCACCCGTCCTTATAAACAATTTTTCAGAAAATGGTCACGTGTCTGAGTTTCTTCGAAATAAAATCTAGAAAAATGATCATTTATCGAGGTTTTTTCCAAATTTTTTTTTACAGGGCGTGCTATTTAACCATTTGGTACCTATAGTTCTTACCATCATAAAAACCTCTTGTCACCTCAGCTCTTCTGAGGGAAAGTGAAAGAGTGAAAGGAACACATCTCCTTCAAACATCCACACTCACACGGACATAAAGGACGAAAGGAAAGGGAAAGGCCGGGAGAAAGAAAAGCGGGATATAAAAGACTGAGGTAATGACTATATAATTCGTGGACCATGTAGCCGCATAATTGCTCAGAGAAGTCCTAAAAAGAATCTTAAAGAATCTTGGTGAATTGAAGATGTATTCATTTTTTTAATACTATATATATATAAACACGTACCAAGGTCTTGTTACATATCGTGAGTAATTTTTTTGCATGATTAATATGAATAATTTCTTCATGATGTTACATACAGTACATTGCTCTTTAGTACATCTTTCCTTTCTTTCCTAATATTAGAAATTAATCAAATTATATTCATCACAGCTATGAAAACAGGATTTAGCACAATCTCTATTCATCCAAATGTGAATGACAAAGAAGATTTTGCTTGGACAATTATAAAGAGAATTTAAAACTAAATCTAGTAACTCACCTCCTAGGATCGAATTTGAAGATGAACACAAAATGCTTGACGCAAAGTTTAGCTATTTACAGACTTAGCTTTCTTTATAACTCCGCTCCAGCGCCTGTGATATAAGTCACATAACCCAAATATTTTATTATGAAGTCCTCGTATGCTATGCAGTATGCTAAAAAAAAAATCAGCTGCTAAACTTAGCCATGATTACAATAATCACCTATTTATTTATATTTATATTGTACAACGCGGAAATTTGGTAAAGTAACAAAATTATAAGTATTAGTTATATTAGTTATTTACTGATCTAGTAGTATATATTCGGATGATGACCCATTTATATACTACTAGATCAGTAAGATCAGTAAATAATAACTAATATCTGATATATACAGTATATACTTACATAAATTTAAGATTAAATGATTAAAGAAAATCATGTGTTTTATTATTTTATTTGATCTGTCTGTGTTTCATCTCCTAAACGACTTACGGGACCCTATAAAAAATTTTATCCGTAATTTTTGTAAAAACTCCGTGAATATGATACGTTTACGGAAAAATAACTAAAAATCTAAGCAATTTGGATAATCTCATGTTTTGAGGCTATAAATTCCGGGAATAAATTTCTTTATAGGGAATAGTTTACATATTCAAAACATTTTGCCAACGTCGTTCCACGATTTATCAAATTTTTCAATCCTCACCCTCACTTTCACTGAACTATCAAAAGACGTTTTGATAAATGTAAAGAAAAATCTAAAAAAAAATGATAGAAATAGCTTAGTCATTGAGTATAAATTCGAAAATTTAAATTTATTTGAAAATTTTAAATAAATTTTTAACATTTTTATGAAAAAAACACATGTATAATAGTAAATTACATAATACTAAATACTCAGCGAATTATTAAATAACTTTCGGTCCGTGATTTAAATAAATACGTTAGCTAATTAATAACCGGATTTTGTTAGTCCAGTTAACGAAAACGATAATTAACGAATTATTATTTTTAAAAAAAAATGTTCGTGATGTAAAGAAATAAAAAAAAAAAGAAACGGTGTTTACGGCTGTAATGAATAAACGTCATCGAATTAATAAAATTAATGAATTTCGTATTGTATGGCAAACACATATTTTAAATCTACGAAAAAAATAATATCACGTTTTTCTAGAAAAGTTATGTTGAAGATTCGATATTAATAATGGGATCTAATGGACGGCTAAAATATATGGCTTTTTCGTGACACGGTAAAATATTATAATTTAATCTCTCTAAATTTGTGAATTTAATTTCTTCAGCAGCATCAAATTGTTCTAATAAATCGGATGAATTAGGATTATCGCAAACTGCTGAGACCCAATCTTCTAAACACTCGCAAATTTTGGATGCTGTTGGTCTATTTGATGGATTGGCATCTAAACATTGTAACATTAAACTGGAGAAAACAGGTGGAGTTCCACTTACAACATTTGGTCTTAATCCTGAGCATATTTCTCGAATAAGTTGCTTATCATGGGGTTTGTCAAAGTAAGGACGTACACCAGACGATAACATCCACATGATCATACCAAAGCTATAAATATCAGATGCTTTGGTTAACTTATTTCCACCAAGGACCTCTGGAGCAATAAAAGGTACTACACCATAAATTTGTTGAAACGATATTTGTTTATCAACAGGCCCGTATAATCCGGTATCTGCGATTTTAGCAACAATCGAACCCATTTCACTTTCAACCAATATGTTCCCTCCATGCAAATTTCTATGAACGAGATCATACTCATGGATAAATTTAAGACCAATCGATATTGACCACAATATATCTATGATATCTCTCCAACAAATGATTCCCATGGATTCTTCAAGGAACGAATATAAATTACCGTTATCATAATATCTCATAACAAGCATATAATGCGATGTTTGGCCTTTGGTTATACCAAAACAATCTGCAAGTGCTCCACTTTGTAAGCATTTATGATATCTAAATAACTTTTCAAATTAAATTAGGAAATATATTAATGTGAATATTACAATAATAAAAAACAAATATTAGGATATGACTTTTAACAAGTTAATAAGTTATAGCCGCCGTCGAAATTTAATTATATTGCATTAATGTACCGTAATATCGTAACTTCGACGGTGACAATATCTGAAATAAAACATTATTGTAAGCGACTGAAATCGAATTTTGACTGCTCACTTGATTTAAAAATTCTTGACTCATATTATGAGAATTATTCAAACGTTTCAGTATGACCTTAATTGGGCCACTGCGATTCCATACCTCGGCTTCCTCATCTAGGTTCCATACTGGACCTTCCATCCATATTGCAGAATAAATTGAGCTATAAGCACCTTGTTTTCTAGTATTCTCAACTAAATCAAATTGATCAAAATCAATCCACTCTAGGTAATCCATACTCTCGTTTGCATTTAGTTGAGTATACCTAATTAATTCATCTATCTTATAATGTCCACTAGTCCAATTGCGGAAATTTTCTTTCAAAGTTGCAATATCACATGTTTTGCACCATGCTGCAGTAGTTCGTTGCCTCTTGCAATCTGGACAGTTGCCGTATAATGACAGTTGGCCCGTAATTCCAAGCATGTTAGCTAGACAATTAGAAGGTGAAGAAAAATTCGGAAATTCAGGCACTATATAAGTTTCTTTTTTGCTACCTGGTGGCGTGATGTAAATATATAGCGTGATCGCCGGGAAAAATTGAAGAAATTCCATGCAGATCGATAGCCGCCTATAAAAGCCGATATACCTTGAGTGAGAAATCGTACGATTATTATTGCTAATTTTGAGTAATTCCGAATTCTCCCGAACAATCCGTTGCAATTCTTCTTACCAAAATAATTGGTAGCAATTGGTGCCTTTTACAAGAAACGAACCCAAAACTGGAATTCATTAGATTAAAATTAAATCATAATTTTCCTTAGAAAAGTAGTAAATCAGATAGTATGTGATGTTTACTAGGTGATGTCAATTTCTATAAACTTCCACTAATCCAATTATGGAAATTTCTTTCTTTGTCATGAGACCAAAAAACAATAGGCCATTTTTTTTTTGTAAGATTTAAATAAACTTTCATTTTATAGAAGCAAGCACATTTACCATTGTTAAGAATAATACGGATATTAATTGTTATTGTTTTTAGAAAAAAGAAAATTTCTTTCAATTCTATGGAGTATGTCAAATTCTGCAGTAAGTTGCATAAATAATAAGCATATTCACTTTCCAGAAGCATATATTTTTGGAAAATTTTTATGATTACGTAAAGTTCTAAATTTTATATGAATGCGGAAATTAATATGAACATATCACCAATTTAGAAACTTGTAACCAACAAATCGTGTCCGAATGATCGACAAAATACTTTTTTTCAGCTTATACTGCAGAATAACATCGGTCACGACACAATAGTAGGAAATTTTACATTTTCTAATTGTTAATAAATAGGAAGAAAGATAAGATAACGCGAATTTTATTACGTGAGAAAATGTCAAAAAAGTCTTTCCTTTCTTTTTGCGTGCATCCTACATGATCAGATGTACCAAATGTCGCTTATACATCCTATTAAAAAATAGCAAAATCGGCAAGATTATTTAATTTTAAAAACTTAATCTTATTTTATGAAATCTAATTAAGACATTGTACTATCTTATAATACTCTAGGAAAATAATGCGGACTTCGCCATTCAAACAATAGGACATTCTTTTTTTTCTAGTTTTAAAATAATCGTAAATGTATTCATTTTATTGATTTAAAGGAAAATTTCTAATAAAATTATTGTGCGTTAAAAAAAAAACATAAAATAAAGCTGATAAATATTATAAATGTTTAAACTAATTCGACAACAAAAGAGAAACCGATTGTAAAATTGTAATAATTAACCGGTGTCATAACAGAAAATATTAGAAAACAATTATTTTCAATATAGATCAATTGTTTCTTTAGATACTAAAACATTCAGTTGTAATCCCTTTCACAATCAAACCATCCGACATTAATAGAATCAAATTAGACGACTGATTTTCATGGTAAACATTTCTAAATTTGATCATTACAAATTCTTCGTAAGAGTTATATGCTATTTATGCTCGAATATTGATTAAATTTGACCACACGCACTTCCTCCATGTAAATATTGAATGAGATAGACTATGTTCATGATGTAATTAAAACCAATTGATATGGTTTATAACATAACTAAAGTATCCCTAGTAAAGAACTCCCATAGATTTATCAAGATATTCCTAGAGTCAAGATATTGTCTATTTGATCAAGAGTAAACGGACGAAATTTCACTGATAGTGCTTGCTAATAATTATTTTTTTCGAATTACAACCTAAGTGGGTTGTAATATTATAATCATAAGTTGTAAATATTACGTTATTATGGTTAACTAAAAGATGATTATTCTGATTTACAATCATTATAATTACTTGATTTTTAATCTTACAACTATTTACGGTAAGCAATACTAAAACTAAGTTGTAAAATCATGCCCTTTTAATTAAACGTCGTCAAAATTATTGATATAAAGTTCATCATTAATCCAACTGTTATAATAAGAGAAACGTCGGATTTTTGTCGGCGTATTATTCCGTCCCGGAGCAACGAAAGCATTACGACGTAGTAAATTTGACGACAGGTCCTTGTAATTGATTTAGAATACATCACTCTAGTATTTATGTATTCTATGGAATTAATTTACTGAAGAGATATTGTAGTTACGTTATAAACTATCTCAGCTGGTAATAATTTTATTCATGAACATAGTCTCGTTCATGCATGGTAATTATCTAGAGGAAAAATATTGGACCTCCATCCTTACTGCAGAACAAATTAAGCTGAAGGACCTTGTTTCTTTACAGGGAATACTTGATCTTGAAAAGTCTCTTAAGACCAAAAGGTCTGAAGAAAGAGACTGATTTCAAAAAATGAAATGATCGGTTTTTTTATGAATGAAAATTACTTTCGAATTTTTTTAAAAAAATTGAAATTTAAAGGCCTGAAGCCTCCCTTTTATTCATGTTTAATGAAACTTGTGGTGAAACGAAATACAATATAAAAATTATAACACATCGTTTTAAGAGTGATAAAAGTGATATCATTAATAAAAGCTAAATCACCCGAACTAACCCGAGTTTTATCTAAATCTAACAGATAAAGTAGATTAAGCTGTACATATGCGTAAGTTATGCATATGCGAAATTTATATAATTTTCAGGCTATATTATCGGTATCGTAATAATTATTTTAATTGTTAAATCGCTAACGGATAGGAACAGTGATATCTTATGGTTTGACACAAATCTCTCTCTTTTTCATTAGCAAGCAAAGGAAAAAACTAAATTTTTCAATATTTAAAGAATTAAATTTTATATTCAATAGTGGCATTGCTTTTTATACAGTTATTATTACCAAATTTTTTAATGCAACGTCCGTTTAAATTTACCCAAATTTCATTAGGCGTATTGATGTTTGTCAAACCGTTAATAGCCATATCACATTTTAATACGTGCAAAAACCAAATTATCGGAATCTCGAGTAGTATTCGCCATATAAACAATTTCCAAACATATTTTTTTTCTTAAGTTCGTGTTAGATGATTGCTATGCATACAAATCAAAAAATTTATTAAAATCACGCCGACTTGGGTTATTTGGTTCACAATATTTCTGCATACTTAAGCACCAATCAAAAAATTTCGTCTATTATACGTTCCCGCTTATTTTATGAGCATTTTCTCATGTCAATTAACTATTTTTTCTTTGATAAGACTATCAGTGATGGCCAGTGACCCAATTGGGTCATTTCAGCATTAAATGAGTCAATTAAAATTACATCATAATTCTGGCCAAAATTATCTATGGATAAATCATCACGTGATAATATAAATTTGTAATCCTGGCCGGCATCATAAATTTGGCCTGAATTAATTCTAAATGACTCAAACCCGATCACCCGATATACGAGAATAATTAATCCATATCCTTAAAGATCAACTAAACCTAGCCCTTTTTTAACTTTAAGAAGTCCGAATATGCATAAGCATTATCTTAAAATTTTCAATTTGCTATAGAATTATCATGAATTAAAAATTTAAACCAATATTTTATAGCGGAGTATGTCTTAGAAATTTTCTTTAAAAAAAAAATCGGTATATATTTGGTTTTATCAAATTTATATTTTTAGGTTGTAATACTTAAGTTTATTATTTAAATCAAATCTAGGATAAATCGATAAATCTTAGAATTTCTGGTCATATGAATCATATGAATCAGTGCAAATAAATAAATTATTAGGATAAAATTATTGGATTTTTAGTATTTTTAGTTAGATGATTTTTAAAAACTGATAAATTTATTTTTTGTTAGAAGAGGTGCGATATTTAGTGTAAATTTACAATGATACTGCTGCTGGTTATCCGATGAATCAGAATTCAAAACAATATTGTATCATTCAAATATATCGAAACCAGGTGATTCCTATTAACTCTAGTCCCTATAAAAAATTTTTATCCGAATATTTCCATTATTTCTCCGTGTCTTCCGTAAAAATTCCGTGAAAATGATACATTCACGGATATGAGATGAAAATTTCCATGATTTAAGGCTATAAATTCCATTAAAATGATACATTCATTAACAGCAGGTTCGCCCTATAAAAAATTTTATCCGTTATTTCTGTAAAACTCCATAAAATGAGTCTTTCACGGATCCATTCACGGAAAATGTAAATAATTTGATAAATTCCCTAATATAAGGTTATTAATTCCGGAGATATGAGCCTTTTACAGAAAAAAGACAGAATATAAAAAACGGAGTAACTTTTTTTACAGGGTCGTATCAGCGATTTTGGTGCCAATCGATTTTATTTTTTTAACCAATTCCTCCGTGTAAATTTCCGTGAATAAGACCTATTCATGGATAGGACCCAGAATATATATACATAAGGGTCAAGCGGAGAAAAATTTTTTTACTATATATGAGTAGTACGCATAACTGACACCTGATATTGAAAATCCTGCAAAAATACGCAAATAAAATTTCAAGCATTAAATTATAAATTATTTTATCATGACTTCTATATTATTTATAAACCCAAATTTTACTAATGTGAAAAAATGGAATTTATTCTAATTTACCATTTTTTTTCAATAATATTTTTCTAAAATTTCACTTTTTAATTTAACCCTTAGAAATTTCTTTCAATTAATACTAAATATTACAATATTACAATGCGGTTAACGTACAGTAAATATATTAGATTAGCCCAAAAATACGCAATTGTACGCAAAATCAAAACTAATTACACTATGATCCGATTGATCCGTGTACGGTCACTACGGTGTACCCTACCCCTGTATATATATTTCTGGGTCCTAGCTCAGGATCCAAAGGTACCAAGAAATAAATGATCTACATATTCATGGCTATGTGATACCTTCCCCGTCACAACACAGCCAGTCCTGTTTTGGACAAGCTGTAGTACGATGACGTTTATGACGCGGGTACTCGAAAATTTATAAAACTAGACAATTTGACAATTTGAAAAAACGCGAACGTTTGTTAAAAAAACCATTATGTCATACGGTAGTTGTTTAGATTGTGAAAGACAACGAATTTCCATATCTTGGTGTAAAAATTGTGATATTGCCTTCTTTAAAGAAAATTTTCGTAATTGGACTAGTGGAAATACTATAATAGATGAGTTTATCAGACATACTCAGCTGAATGCTAGTAAAAGTACAGATTATCTCGAGTGGATTGATTATGATCAATTTGACTTGGTTAAAAATATCAATAAAGGAGGCGCATTCAGCTCGATATATTCTGCCGTGTGGCTGAAAGGCCCTATATGGAAGCTGGATGAACAAGCCGATTTATGGACTCGTAGTGGCCCCATTAAAGTTATTCTAAAGCGTTTAAACAATTCTCAAAATATAAGTGAAGAATTTGTAGATCAAGTAAGTTTTACCTGTTTATTTGTTTACTTATTTCCATCCAGAATTATTATCTTTATCTCGGCCAGAATTAAGTGTTATTAATGAAGTCTAAACCGCCGATTGAGATTTGGCCATGGCTACTTATTAAGATAAAAAAAATGTAAAAATTATGGGAATTTTATACGAAATGTTACGGCAGTGTTCCAATCCGATTTCCGTCATCCGTTATCCGATCCGGTCATTATCCGCCATCCGTTTATCCGATCCGATTATCCGTCTCGGAACGGTTTGTTATAAAAATCTAAGTATTTAGGATGTCGGTAACATTTTTTCGGATTCGAGATACTCACTATTACGATATAATATTTTAATGGTAATTATTTGGCTTCTGTAAAATAAAGTAAAAAATTCCTTTTATTGTTTCTCACAAAAAATACGTTTAAATTTGACATTAAATTTTTCGCGTTACTTATTTCGAAAGAAATATACACAATATTTGTGCTGAGAAATCATGAATCAAATCAAAAATTCTTATGCACAATGACAAACTCTTTTTACTAATTTTGCAAACTATACTATAATTTTCGAATGTTAATAAATCCGAGTTCGATAAATGTATTGACAAAATACATAACCAAACCATGTGCTGAATCTCAAAAAATAATCTGGAAATGAATCAAAGCTAATTTATTTATAATTTTATATTAATTCAATTTATTTATTTAAATATTAAAAAAAGTTACATAGATATCACAAATGCTTACAAAATGGAGCACTTACAGATTTCTTTGGCATAACCAAAGATCCAACATCATGTTATATGTTTGTTATGCGATATTACGAGAATGGGGACTTGTACTCGTATCTCGAAGAATCTATGGGAATTCTTTGCTGGAGAGATATTATAGATATATTATGGTCGATATCAACGGGTCTCGAATTTATTCATGAATATAATCTAGTTCATGGACATTTACATGGAGGAAATATATTAGTTGAAAACGAGATGAATTCAATTGATGCGAAAATAACGGATACTGGATTACACGGACCTGCTGATAAATCGATGGCATCTCAACAAATTTATGGCGTAGTACCTTTCGTTGCTCCGGAAATTTTTAAAAAAAATTTGCCAACCAAAGAATCTGATATCTATAGCTTTGGTATGATTATGTGGATGTTATCAGCCGGCATACGTCCTTATTATGATAGACCTCATGATAAACAACTTATTCAAGAAATCTGTTCAGGTTTAAGACCAAGCGATATCGATGGGACTCCGCCTGTTTACTATAGTTTGATGTTGCAATGCCTAGACGCTAATCCGTTAAAAAGACCAACAGCATCTCAAATTTGTGAGTGTTTAGGAAATTGGGTTTCAGCAGTTAATGATGATCCTCATCCATCTGATTTATCAAATCAATTTGACACTGCTGAAGAAATTAAATTCAAGAATATAGGAAAATTAGAACTTAATAAAATATCATATCATGAAAAAGCCATCTATATTAGTCGTCCATTAGATTCCATTAATATTGAGTCTTCTGAATCTAAATGAACGATCAATTTTAAAATTTTACCAACTTGGATCGACAGGTAAGCCTTACACAACACAAAATACTTAAATACTTGCACAAATTTCTTAAGTAATATTTTATAGTATTTAGTTTAAAGGGGGTACGATCCAATGCCTTGTCAGTTATGAGCATTAATATATAACTGAAAATACCAGTACTAGGCATAAAAATATAAAAATCTGTCAGGAATCCGGCTTTTTTTTTCGATACTCTTTAGTTTTCGAGAATTTAATATTGCCAATTATTTTTTGAAACAAACTTAAGTAGCTTGTAAATTTAGAGATATATACATATAGTAGTTTTTAGTTTCTCTCTCCTAAATGTTAACTACGCACTGGACTACAGAAAAGCGGAATTGAATTAGCTATAGTCTTCGAGATTTTATAGATAGTTAAAATTAGAAAAAATGTTTAATTATAAAGGAGGCTTAAAAAGCGTTGACAACTGATATTTCAAACTTGCATATATAGCGTAATCCCTATAAAAAAAGTTGCCAAACACTGTTCGGTTTTTTTCTCAGAAAATTGACCCGTTCTGGACATTTACTTGACATTTATTGGACAATTATCATGATATTGTACGTTTTTTATGTGGTCTAAAATTCTCAATCTCTGCATCTTGTATTAAATTGTAAACATTTTTTATAGGGAATGTAAGACTTTAGAATTTAATAGTACAATATTATTAATTTATTTATACATGAACAACACTACAATATATATTATTTCGTATTAAAGCATTACTGAGAAAGGAGATCGAACGGATAATGAACTTATTTTAGGTAATCTGCCTTGCTCAACATTTTATAAAAAAAAATAACTTCCATCGATTTTGCTTTTATTATTTTTTTATACAGTATATTATGGCCCATCTCTAATTTACCCAAGAGTACCCAAAATTTGTTTGAAGTGTCTGCTGGAAATTTAAGTTTTGTAATTTTGTTGTAAATTCTCTTACCTTCCATTCATTTAATGATATCTTTCTCGTTTCGTTTTTTAGAACGTAAAATTATAAAGCTTCGTTATATGACTTAACTTTTTTCATTTTAGCTTTAGAAAATATTTTGGAACAAAATCTGATAATTAATGTGTATTGGAAATTTAAATAACTTCATCAATAATCATTTTTTTATGCTATTCGAAAATTAGAGGCTCATATTCAAGGATTACAAAAAAGGAAAAGGAATAATGACCAGTCAAAAATATCAGATATATATTTAGTAAAAGACGCCAATGCTTACGATTTCTACTTGGAACATTTATTAGGACCCGAGCAATCCTTTTTGGATAGTACCAATGGAGTCACATGAAAATCCGGCCTAAAAAAGAAATGAAAAGGATTGATATCATGATATATAAATGCGTGACGATCATTTATTTTATTTCATTTCTGATGCTTTGCTCAATTTATGTAATTATGATTACATTCATCAAAAATTCAGCATTAAATGAAATTATAATCTTTGGTGTTACCAACGATAAGATGTATTGTTATGAGAGAACATATAAATATATATCGGTATAATTTTGATATAACGATATTTTTCATATTGAACTCGAAATATCGTTATATCGGAGTTTAACCGTATTACCTTCTGAGGAAACGATTAACGATTGTGGATCTTCCACTTTATTAAAGCTTCATAATAACGTGAGCAGCTCTTTTTTTTAGAGCGAATATAGAACGACGGTATTTGTTTAGAATTTCATACCTTAGGCTTAACTCTCTATTATGCAAGATAAAAGAATACAAGGCGTCTCATTGGGGCGTGCTGCCAACTAGTAATTAAATCAATATCATAGTCTCGTAGAAAAATTGATTTTTAATATTTTTTTGAGCATCAATTAATATGATACCAAATTCGGGAATTTTCTTCACAATAACTTAAAGAATAACATAACATCATTATTGTCAACTTGAATACTTTTTTATTGGAAAAAGCATTCTGTTACATGAAAGATGTAATTGCTTGAGGGAAACTGTTTAGAAAATTCATTTAATAGCCCAATATCAACGAGAAAAAAATGTAAATTTTACTATTTAACTAGATATAGTTTTATTAAACTATGCTGACAGCACACCCCAGCGTCTCATATCAATTGTATTTATTTATTTATTGTCATATCATTTTTATAACCAAATCCAACCAAATATTATTTAAAGATAAAACAATCCCATCATTCAGATCCCAAAATTTTAAGGTTACACAAATAATTGTAGGTACAATTGCAGTAACGTACCAGATAACATAGCTAAACTATGTCATCACCATGAAATATCTTAGCGAGGATAAAGGCAGTTAAAATGTCAGAGATCCTTATTTGTAATATAGCTTCAATGTGGTGTTATAGAGTAATACAAAGAAAATTTTTGTTAATATTTTGTCTATTTATATCTATAACATAGTAAATTCTGATCATTTACAACTACGATATAATTATTACTTATTACATTACTTACTATTTTTACTACTTAATATTAATATATTTTTTTATTTTTATGTTTAAAAAAAATAGGTTAAGGTAAATTGATTTTTTATGTTTATTAGACTAGAATGACTAGTATTTCTGTGGCATTAGAGTTTAACCAAAATGACGTGATGCCTTCCTTTTTTAGGTAGTGCCAGGCGGCATTACGTAATTCTGGCCCCGAAGAGATACGTGGAGCTAATAGTAAATGTGTAGCCAGTCTGCCCGAGTATAATAAATAGGATATAATTTATTAACATGCTTAGAATATTTTTCAGATAGTTCAGTCAGGACTATCGATTGGCATATTTTCATTAAGTCATCATTGTAAAATATGCGAAAAATTGAAACGAATAATAAAGTTGTAATAATTAATAAAGTTATTAATGATTGTCTAATAATTTTAGAATTGTACAAAAATATGATAACATTTAATGTCAAATTTTCAGCTAATGGCACAGTTTTAATCTCGAATATCATATAATGCAATATGTCAAATTCAATGATTAAACTTACTAATAAAAGGACAAATCATATGACAAATGATTGATAACCTCAATTACATGATTCATTTGATTGGACCACAGTATAACGGTTTTTAGTATACTGTAACTTTACGGAATAGTCCGTAGTCCATAATCTATTTTTACAATATTCAATCAAAGCTCATTATAGTGAAGCTTATTATAGTAAATTTAGTTCTCTTTATAGTTCGTTATAGTGAACTTACTAATATGAGTGAACTTTTTGAAAATTCTACTATAGAACATGTTATAAATTTATACATAATAATCATGCATTATTTTTTGCTGAATATACGTTGTTAACATAACATTTTCGTATTAAAATGATTGTCGTCAGAATTAATCATTCGATTCTTCCGGAATTAGAATTTGATTAATTTAATATTAATACAGCCGTGCGTTCGTTCATTTTTCAAGTAGTCCTTTATGATTTTATCTTGTAGAAAAAAACGCCAAGACCAAAGATTATCAAAAAATATCAACGTTAATTTATTGAATGATTAAAAAGACTCATTCAACTAAGTAGTAACAATATTATTAAAGATTCAATTAGATTAGGATCGAAATACCTGATTACTTAGTATACCCTAACTGATTTAGTAATAAATTCATCTACATTCAAAACATTAACAAAAGGACTACTTGATACAATGGTTCCAAGTTCTAAGGCTTCCGTGTCCCTATAAAAAATTATACTCGAACATTTCATGCTATATTATGTCGCATGATCGGCAGATCAGCCGCAAATATGAATAAACGTGGATAAACTTTTTCACTTAAAGTTAGTATAAGGTAATCAAATTTATTCAAAAATATTCAAAAAAAGGGAATGAAGCTTAAAAAGAAAAAGTGCACGTGATTCCGATTAATATACTTATATCTAGGGGTGTGGGGGTCCAACTGGTTGGTTACACAATATAATATACAATAAGTCTAATAAATCAAAAACTGTCCTCCATATAAATTTATATACGTTATTAGTAAATTACGATGATCGGTGAACAAAATACCCCTGCAATTAAAAAAACCAGCCACCCAATTATGTCATCCTTGAAACATGATCATCTTTACATCTGTTTTGTCGCGTCCAAGTACTTTAAATAATGTTTGGACCTTCTCCGAGAAGAAAAAAATAACATCGGTGGTTTTATTTTAGTATTTATGATGAATAAATCAATATTTAGAAGTCTAAAACAAGTAAACCAAGTTTATTTTTTACAAGAACGTTATTTATATAGACTTTTAATTTATAATAACTTTTAAACCTTTTTTTTTTAAAAAAAAAACTGAAAAAAATATAGTCTATAGTAAATGTCTACAATAAATAGTTGTATGCAGTTTTCACTAATAAAAGAGAATGTATTTAATAAAATTTTAATATAAAAGTGATATTTATTGTTAAAAAAATATTTTTCATTGTTTTTTAAAAAAATCTTTTAA